GGTTACTTATCAAAAAGAATAAAAAAAATCAAGAAAGTTGAAAAAAAAAAAAACAAAAAAGAGAAAGCAATAAAGAAGAAGAATAAGGTTGGGGAAAGAATTTGGCTGGTAGGAGAATTTTGGAGGAACAAGGAAGGGGAAAAGTATAAGGTTGAAAGGAGTTCTTGATAGATTTCTAATTGGTTATGGTACACGTGAACCCCTTTTATATTCTATTTGTCTCTATCTTTTGATATTGGTTTTGCATATCTTTCTGCCATACTTCTTTCTTTGCTTCCCTTTTTTCTTTCAAATCTTGCTTAGTTTCTTTGCTTGTATTGTCCTTTTTCTTTGCTTCTTGCTCTCAATTTTATTACCTACCTCGCGATACACCTTACTCTCAAAGGCTTGTGAAGTTTTCCAAGGTACGTTTTCTTGAACTTTGATGTTGAATTCATATCAACTTGCGTTCTGGACTAGAATTTTCCTTTTTGGAAAAAGGCTTGTGAGAGTATCTGCCACCTTGAGCTATACACGAGTGAAGTGTGTGTTTGTAAGAGTGTGTAGTGCACCCCTAGAGCCATATAATCCACCTCTTACCTGTGAGCTGAGAATAGAGAGGGAGCGAACCAACTTTTTGGTTTCACTAACATAAACACTCACATATCTTCTTGTTTTTAGATTTTGTTTCTCATCTACAGATGGTTGAAGAGGTTCCAAGCACACGTAAGAGATTAGAACAGAAAATAGATGCTCTAGCATTTGCCATGGAAGGTTTAAGCACTCGAATGACTAATCTAGAGCAACACCCTAAATGAGTGCAACTGCCACTCTATACTAGGGGAAACATTCATGGAAAGGGATGCGTTATCGTTATCAATTCGGATCGTTGTATGAATTTAGCTAGTGCAGCCATGGTGGACTACCTTAAGTTACCTCTTATCAATCGCCCCCAACCATACAATCTTATTGATTCAGGAGATGTGAGAGTGACTAAACACGTTTTTATTCCTTTTTGTATTGGCAAGTATTATGATGAGGTTCTATGTGATATTGTGCCAATGCGTACTGCACATGTTTCACTTGGAAGGTCATGACAACATGATAGACATTTTTATTATAATGCACTCAACAACACATGCAATGTCACCTATAATAGATTTATACATGTGCTTAAGCCTCTACTTCCAAAACAAGTAGAAGAAATTCAACTGAGACCAAAGCAAGCTCTCAAACCAGCCTTGAAGAAAGAAGAAATCAAAGAGAGCAAATTGGAACCTCCACGTTTAGAATTGGAGTCACCACTCCAATCCTCTAACTTAGATTGCAGCCAAACAAAGGAACTGCTATCAGTGGTACGGTGGAAAGAACCAGCAGAGCTATCAAAGTGCAGCCTCGCTTGCTAACAAAAAAGGATAATAAGCAAGAGAAAAGAAGGGGAGTAACTATTTACTCACTTTTATTTCAAAAGCATGCATTAAAATTCTCTAGATTTGTTTGCCATGTTTCTATTAATGACCTACTTGCTAGATGTGTTAGAAATTTGTTTGCCTCCATACATCCAAGATTCCTTAATTTTGATTTTACTAAAACTTTATTTGATAGAGATAAGGAATCACTTGGAAGTTATAAGGCACATTTGAAAACTTCTTATGACAAATACTACTTGCACAAGGGGGTTTTGGTTCAAAGTCAATGGGATTGGCACCTTTTGCTTTGTTTTGGGCAATGATTTAATTGTTGATTCACATAAGGGACATTTTGATTTTTCAAAGAGTGATGATGTTTTGCATGGATATTTTCATTGGCCAAAGAAGAAAAAAGATGTAGAATCTTATGTTCAGAATTGTGCTACTTACCACCATAATACATCTAAATCATTACTTGATATTTTCATAAATTTTCTGTTTGATTTTACCTTAAGCTCTAGGAGGAAAGATAAGATTTGGTGCTTGTTGAGAATTCAAACAAGATGCCACTAGTACAAAAAAGTCTATTCGCGTCTGTTGTAAAAGCTCATTTGTGTCTCTTTTACAACAGGAGTCTATGAACAAGACGCTGAAAGTCCTCACTATAGCCGTCTGTTGTACACAGTCGCCTAAAGTAGACTTTAGGCGTTTGTTCCCCGTAAAGAATTGACGCCTATTGAATTAAAAAATTAAGAGTAGGCGTCTGTTTCTCAAAAGGAACAGGCGCCTATTCATATACTATTAAAAAAATAAAAAATATTTTAGTTTCTGCCTGCTACAGTAATATTCCATTCCCATTCCATTCATCCATCATAAACAATAATCATTCACACAATTAATAATATTCCATTCCATTCGTCCATCATAAATAATAATCATTCACACAATCCTAAGTGGCTTGGTCTCTTTGGCCATGGATGTTGAAACAACAGAAGATTTTCAATTGCAAAATATATTGACATTTATAAATCTCACAATAAAAAAAAAAAATAGATTCTGGGCTAATTTTATTTATGTATACTGCAATAGCAGTTTTGAGGTCATAAAAAAATAAAAATCCAAGCTTTGTAAACACAATGCAAATTATTCCACAAATACTGTCAAGAAAATATGTAAAAGGGAGAACAAGGATTACCTGCATTGCAATTGGAAAATCATCACCTACCTGCATTGCAATTGGAAAATCATCACCAGTCCATATTCGTTTTCATTCTGCAACAAAGAACCCAATGAGATTACTTTAAACAAAAACTTTTAATCTACATCAAACTTATTAATGAGAGAAAACTGACTATCTTGTCTACCTAATATATATAGCCAACCCACTCTTGAGAAAATTACATCAGTCAATACCAAAACTTCCAAAACTCAAGTGGTTGGCAGCACCTAAAAGAGACTAAGCTCTTAGTCTAGACTCAATAAAGTATGTTAACTTTGTGCTAATTATTAGAAAGTTTACCTACAAATTTTACATGAATAATGTCTAACCACACCCAAAAACAGAAATTGCGCGCTATTGGTTGACAACAACAAAAAGAAGCATTGTATTCTAAGATATTCATAAGTGTTCCGTTGTTCCAAGTCATCAAGAATCCTAGTAACGTTAAAAAAATGCATCTAAACTACAACACGATCTGGGTATCAAACAAGTAAACACAGTAAAGTTCCTAGCCAGCATAGTATGACACATTGCCCCAAACAAGCATTTAAGAGATTAAGCCTTTGCAAATTGTATCTAATAGCATGTAGATTATCACTTCTGGGCTCTTGTTGCCTTCTTAGAATAGTCCTAAATTCCAGATTATCAAGCTAAACCATGTAAAAGGCACCTCTATTATTTCCCATTAAAGAAAAAGAAAACACCATCCAGTTCACTTAGACATATTGTGTATCATAACCAGAAAATTGCATTTCTGAAAACCAACAAATAGTTAGAATAATTTATTCCAAGTGGCAGGATTTTAACACAAACTACGGAGAAAGACTAATATCTTCTTTCTACTATATTCTAATTTCAAACCAAAATTAATACAAGATCTTCAGAGAGCTAAGTAGTTTAAATGAATACGTACAGAAGTAGATGTTTTCAGTAGCTTCCTCATGGCCATAGTTGCATAGCAAGATGCAGGCAGAGTAAAAGTCATTTTGAGAGCCACTTGGTTTCCTGAGCACTAGAACCATCCAGATATTCCTCTGGCTGTGACACTGTTTTGATCTTAATTTCATCCATGTGTTCAGGTTCTGGACCTAGTTCCTGGTCATTATTATTCTCAGCTTCAATGCTCTTTGACTCAGTCCTAATACCAATTGAAGGTTCATCATCCTTGTCTTTTGCTGATCCCGAATCTCTGACCTGGCTACTCGTTTCTGACTTGGAAATAATGTCCCAATCTGTTTCCACAAGAGATTGTGTACCATCACTATAAGCAAGCAATTCCCTGCAAGGGTGATAGATAAGTCAACAGATAAATACAGATGTAAAGTTCAAGAAACATTTTAATGATTACAACTAATTATTGAAGCTGGTAATGTGCAGGAGAAGCAATCCTACCATTCATAGTGTAACTAAATACTGCATCTTTCTCTTCAAGCAACCAATATTTCTGTTCTACTAAATGAGAACCCTCAAGATTGAATTCCAATTAGTTTGTAATGTGGAACAAATAAAACCTAAGCTATATACTCATCCATAATTTAAGCATAGAAATAAAAAGCATACCCTTATAATCCACATGCAAGATTGAAAATTGAAGCAAACTCGTATTTTAAGCCTGTAAAAACAAATAAATAATAAATCGTGTCATGAACAAACTATTGAAGGATATACCAAAGTAATTAGGTGGTGCTCAGGGGGGAAAATTAGAAAAGAAAAGAAAAAAGAACAAGTTTCTGATAGGAAAATAAATGAGAAAGCTAAAATGATCATCAACTAGCACCAAGTTCAATTTAGTAGCTACAGAGACGTTATTAGTCTAGAATGAGATCATCAACTGAATCACAATGTAACCAAATTCAAGTATGAGAAGCATAACTTGAATGCTACTCAACTGTACTGCAAACTAAAACTTAAAATCTCTGCGTGCAAATTCAATATCATAACAAAACAATCAAGCAGAGAAGTATATTTCATCGACAAGCTAAGGATCAAAAGAAACTTCAAGTTACAGAAATTACAGTCCTTGCAAGCTTGTCATATGAGCTATATCTGGTATCTGCCCAGAAATATTACACCTCCTCAACATCCTGCACCCAAAGTTAATTTTAGCCTAAATAACTGCACTTCATAGTGATGTGGTGTTACAAAACTTAACTTCATTTTTTGGAAAGAAAATGCATTACTCACAAACTTGTCATGCAGATTCAATCCACCAGATCCCTTATAATCATTGTAATATGTACTAGTAGAGTAGAAATTCACTGGCTTTCAACTCCACAACACCTATTTTTCCTGGGTTCACAAAGAAAATCATCAAAATTTTCTACTCAACTTGAAAAGAAAATTTTAAAAAGTTTCATGGATTCTATCAAACACCATGAGCTCAGAAGGATTGGAGCTCAACAAGGCAACAATCATTAGTAAACAAAGTAAGAATCCAATGAAAAACATCAAAACTTTACAGCCACAGAACATAAAGAATGCCCATCTTTTTTGTAATTGGGAAAAATACTCAAAATTCCATCTGAAATCTGTCTAAAAACCTCAAAAACTTGTGAATCATCCCTGATTCATCTTCAGGCGCAATTACACATGAGAAAAAACCAAAAGGGATGAATAAAGATCTAACCTTTCCATCCATGATTATCCAGCAATCCTTAGTCTTGTTGTGCTGGGCGACTTCCTCAAAGACATGCACTTTCTGATCCGAACCCATTTCCTATCAAAACCAACCAGAGAAATTGAGGGAAAAAACGTTCAGAACTTTGCACACAAAACACCGGCGAAGCCAAATCAAATATACTCATGATTCAGAGTCAAACAAGAACACGAATCTCTAACTACGAGAAAGGAAGATAGATACTCACGAAATGGATTGTTCGAGAAAGTCAATGAAAAAAAAAACGGAGAAGACCGTACCGCAAGAAAACGCCGCCGCTGCTCCTTTTTCCTCAACGTCGTCACCGTCGCTGGTCAAGCTCTTCGTGTCGAAGCTTCTCTGGTCTGCCTACGCTGCTTCGCTGATCAACGTCGCCGCTACTATGCTCCTTCGTCGACATCGCCCTTCGGCTTCACCGCCACTGCTCTCTCCGATGGTGGTCGCCGGTGGTCTAGCCCTTCATCGTCGTCTCCGCTGCTCACTTAGATGGTGGTCGTCGCCGCCATCTCTCTCAATGCTTTATGTTTGTGAAATAGAAAAAGAAGAGAAGAGAACTAGGGTTATATATTATTTATTTATTTAAAATTGTAAATTTTAAATATTGGCTACTGTGGGTTTTAGAACAGTCGCCAAAAGCGCTCGTGCTTTTAAGAATGCACTTTTAGCATCAGCTGTGTCCATACGACAGATCTTAATTGTTTCAAGTATTACAGAACTGCCACCATGCATGTTTTAGTATCTCTTTTTCAAATAAGAGATGCCAATAGCCTAATATTTATTGTCAAATGTGTACTAGTGTGCCTAAATTTAATATGTCTCATTTTGTCAAATTATTACCATCCATAATGTTTAAATTCCATGATGTGTCATTAGACTCAATTGCCGTACTTGTTGATTGTAGGATGATGATTGGAGCCACTCGTGTCAAGCATCCCAAAAAATAGTTCCATGAGCGTGATAAAACAGAAAGTAAGCATGCTAATTTGTCTTTCATTGAAGATTTGGATTCGAAGACGAATCCTTTTCAAGAATGGGAGAATAATAGGAACCAGTGCACATGGAATCCAGTAAGGGTAAATAGTGGGCTCATCACAAGGCCCATAACTACATCCTTAAAGCATCAATGGTGGAAGAAATAAGAAAGTCCAATAAAAATTCCATTCGATAGAGGAAAGTATTATAAGTGGTCCGTTTCAAGTGATGTCACATCGAAGACAATGTTTAGAAGATTCGAGGTCGAATCATTTTTCAAGAAGGGGAGGATGATACGGCCCAACATAATGAAGATCCATTAAGAGTACAAATTGGGCCAATCACAAGATCCAAGGCCCAAATCAGCTTTATTATTTGTGGTCATCATTATTTTAAATTGTTTTGAATTAAAGAGAAAACACTAGTTTGTATTTAGAAAGGATTCCTTAAATCCCTTTCTAAATAGGACTATATTTATTTGATTTCTAGATTAGGTTTAGGACTCTTTTTGTATTTAGAAAAGGATTCCTTAAATCCCTTTCTAAATAGGACTATATTTACTTGCTTTCTAGATTAGGTTTAGGACTCTTTTTGTATTTAGAAAAGGATTCCTTAAATCCCTTTCTAAATAGGACTATATTTACTTGCTTTCTAGATTAGGTTTAGGACTCTTTTTCCAATTGTATTTAGGATTACAATGCTGCCCTATACCTATAAATAGGGCACATCCATATCAGTTTTAGGGAGGCTTTAATTCAATAAAATTCTTAAGTTTTTCTTTACACTTGTTTAAGAAACCTTATGGCTAATTGTGGACTCAATTAGTGGCTAGTCGTGGACTCGACTAGCAAATTGATTCGTGGACTCGAATCAATCTTCCTTTCTTCAACCTTAGATTTAGGTTCGTGGACTCGTTCTTGAATCGAAGGAAACTAGATCCGACTCTAGTTGATTGAAGATTGCATCATCGAGGTACTTGAAGCTACAATGGGATTCTTCCAAGTCTTTGAGGATTTGAGACAAGGGGTTTTCTCGTGACGTCTAAGGTACTTTGATCCATCTCTATCTTTACTTTGAGAGCATTCTTGGGACAATACTCCATCTTCTTTGAATCTTGGATTAGGTTCATATCACTAACAAAGCAACCCACTACACCAACTACCCCAACAACAACTAACAAACAAGATAACCAAGAACGAGCAACCAAACACAGTCAACAAGCGACAACAACGGAATGGCAACAACAAACGAGGGAGGAAATGAGCTTACCCCAACTCTGATATAGAAGGACTCACTCTCTGACTCCTCGGCATCCTCGTCCGAGTCTTCCTCAACTCTACCTCGGCTAGAACCGGCCTCCAACTGGTCCAACCTCTGGTTGACAGCGACGAACTGGGTCTTCATGAAAGCGAAACCTTCCTCTATCATCCGGTTCTGCTGACGAAGAAGGGTGACCACACGCTCCTCGTGTGTCATAGCGTCATGCTCCCTTTTGGTTCTCGCCTCATTTCTCCTCAGGTTTTCTTCACTTTCGGAGTCTCTCTCTTCGGCCTCTTCGGCTTCTTCTCCACCTTCTTCCTCTTCCCGTTCCTCTTCACCTTCATTCCCAGCATCTCCTCCCAAGCTTTGAACCGCGAGGTTCAACTTTCCAATAGGAATCTCGAGCTTTGCAACCAATGCACTCCTCTCAGCAGTGGTTTTTTTGGCGACCTCCTCAAGAGTGATGTACTCCCCATCATCTAGCTGGAACATGTTGCAACTACGGAGGTTTGTGGCATCCAAAACCATCTTGCCCACTGGCTTAGGCACATAACCGACAACACTCACTCCCTTCTTGGCAAATATCCAGCTCAAAACCATGCCATACGGCAAACTCTTGCGGTTATGATCTCGACAAAAGACCATGTGTTGCAGCATTAACGCAGGTAAGTTGAACTTCACCATATTCTTCAAACAAAATGCAAACGTGCACTCCAACTTTCCCAACAAACGACTCTTATTATTATCGGACAACAAACAGTTAGAAACAAGCATGGCCAAAATCCTTTGCTCAGTAGATAACCACTTCTTTTCCGGCCTCGTGGCCTAGGTAAAACCACTAGTTCTTCCCAAAAGGTAACTCAGATAATCCCGATAGCTCATGTTGTCCGTCCCAATCCAAGAGTCACCACTATATTGCGAGACTCCCGTGGTTGTTAAACTCAAAAGCTGAGCTAACCTTTTCTCAGTCAACACAATTTTTACACCTCTCACTTTAGAGGTTACCTCCAACCTTCCACCATCTTTAGTCACAGTCATGTGACGGTAGAACTCTTTCACCAAACTTGGGTAAGTCTCGGTCCTAATGGCGAGAAACCCAGCCAGCAAACTCTGATAGTTCAACATTTCCAACAAAGAACTTGAAAAAGAGTCGGGCTCAAAAGCTTTACCTTCCAACACTAGGTAGTGGGCATCCACCCATTCTACCCCTCTTCATCAAATTAGACCTCCTAGGAATGATTCTGAGATGACCCAAAGACTCAAGGTAGACCCCAAAACTCTCTTCTTCCTTTCTTCTTCTTCTTCTTTCTCTCTATCTCTCCCTCTCTCTCGGCTTCGATTCCGACTGGCGGCGGCGGCGGACACTCAGCTACAGCAGGTCGGCGGACCAGCGATGGCGACGGGCGGTTGGTGGCGGCGTTCTCTGACTGCGACAGGGAGGAGTCAACGACGGGCAGGGGGGTTCTCGGGTAGCTTGCGGGTGGAGGGGAAAAAGAAGAAGAAGGGTTTGGAAATTTTGGGAAAAATTTGGGAAAAGAAGATTTTAATTTAGGGGTTTTTGATTAAGATGGGAATTATAGGTTAAAAGGAATTTAAGTGGGATAAGGTTTAAGAAATACAAATGGTTTAGATGGTTTAAGGGTTGGGTTAGTAACTTGGACACATGGGTTTGAAACTTGGTGGTTATGATTTAATTTCTTTTTGTCTTTTTAGGCTCCTCATGAAGGGATTTTCCTTAAGTTGGCTATTCTAAATTTAAGGGTGACAAATTAGGCTTGGATGGCCCAAAGGAAAGAGGTGAAGGGATTTTCCATAAGTTGGCTATTCTAAATTTAAGGGTGACAAATTAGGCTTGGATGGCCCAAAGGAAAGAGGTTTGAATTAAAAAGTATATTCGTAAGGCTTCGGGATTTCAACTAACATTAAACCACTCAGAATTAACAATCAAATCACAAGGGAAACTCACTTGAAAGGCATAAGAGGATCACATAGCAAGGAATAAGGAAAACACAGGAAATGCACACTCTCAAGATAAAGGTAAGCTTAAGGAAAGGTTACCTATCGTCTCTTCCTCCACCAAACCCTCAGACTCGGCTTGGGAGGCCCATCACGAACACTCGGCCCGAAGGCTTCGCTCCAGCTACACTTCGGCCAGAACTCCCTCCCGTAGTCCCACCGGATCCCGAGCTAGGTGGCAAAGCTCTTTGATTGGATTGGGGCCGGCATTCAAATGCCTTGCGTCCTCTTTCCCCGCACTTGAAACATCAGAGTGCAGATCCTTCGCAATCCTTCCCTACATGTTCCTTCCCACATTTCTTGCATGCAAAAGCCCTCTCTTGAGCTCCATTCTCCGCCCGAGTTGATCCTTGAGGCGGGGAGGATGCGGGTCTGGATCGGAAGTCTTGTCTCGGCTTCTTGAAACTGTGGGCCCCACTTCCTTCATTCCTCTTCTTAACGAACCCAAACGACCCTCGCTGCAACTGTTTCACATGATACAGATCGGCCGCGCTCAGATAAGCCTCCTTCAGGGTCCTCGGCTTGCTCACAGTCAACGCCTTCCGGGCTTCATAGTTGAGTCTTGCCACGAACTTCTCCACCTTCGCGAGCTCGGTGGGGAGCAGCATCCTTGCAAAACAGGAAGCTCCAAGAAGCGCTTGTGGTATTCTACCACAGATGACGAGCCTTGCTGGAGATGTATGAACTCCTCGTACATGGCGGCTCGAACGTGCGATGGATAAAAACTCTCCCTCATCCTGTCCATCAAGGCTGTCCAGTCGAAGTCGGGCTCTTCTTGACACGCGGGACCCTCGTGTACCCACCAGAGATCAGCATCGTGACTGAAGTAGAAAGAAGCCAGCTTCACTCTGCGATCCTCAGGGCATCCCACGACGGCGAAGATCTTATCAAGGGTCCGGATCCACTCCTCGAGTATCACAGGATCCTCTTCTCCGGCGAACACCGGTGGCCTATGTCCCGAGACTAGACGTCCCACATCCCGATTCCCGGCTGGCTGCGGCGGCGGAGCAGGATGCTTGTTGTGCAGAAGGGCTTCACTCAAGGTCTGCATCGTTTGCATGAGATGTTGCAAGTTCTGAGCCAGCTGCTCGTTGGTCGGCGTCTCAGGCGTACGGGCGCGGTGATGAGGCGGAGCCATGACGAAACTTCTACAGAAACACCAGGGTTAAGGTAGGCACAAATAAACAACGCACCCTTACCCGGCGCTAACTACAAGAACGCTAAAGCTAAGTAGAAACAACAAAGCAAAAAGAACACACGGTAAACAACACACAGCTCACCACGCGTCCTAGAAGCCCTAAGTCCTAAACACTTAGATACTTAAAGGTCATCTTAGGGCCTCAAACCACACTTAACTTCTTAAAGTTCAGACTCTAATATCCTAGGCTCAAACCTAGGCTCTGATACCAACTGTAACACCCCCGATTTTACCATAATTTAAAACGTAGTTGCAAGAGAAAAACAATCTAACAAACCATTAAACAAAAGAAGAAGCAAGTCTATACGAGGGCATTATGCCACATCTTAAATACCAAAAGATGGACAGGCAGGAAAAACTAAACTATTGATCAAAGTCTAAAGAGTCAAGGCACACATGCCGCTCGAAACACAACGTCTAGACAAAGGATAAACTATCTAAAGCTCCAGTCTAGCGCTCTCGGTCTCTACTCAAAACCTATAGAACAAGGAAAACATAACATGGGGATAACACCCAGTCAGCGAACATTGCTGGTAACCCATCAATACGCGTTAAATAGCATATATAGATAAGTGTAAGTCCAAAACTATTTTCGAAACCGAATACAGTATATATCATTTCAAAAGCCGTAGAGAGAAGTCAACTTCAAAGACTCATTCACACTCTTAAAAGGAAAAGGAAATCAAAATCCTTACGACAACAACAAGACAAGAATCATGAAAGACAATACAACTCGAGATGCATTCTACTGATCACAAAGTAGAATACATCAAGACATGCTCATTAGCAAAGAATACACATTCACACATTGGCAACTACATGCCACAGTGACAACTACATGTCACAAGTATCATAGTTCCAACCTTATGGCTACCCCCGGCCTTATTTCAGTTCCAACCGTTACCTCCGAGTGTCACCCTGTACTTATGAGTCCAACCTTAAACCGCCAGGGACCGTCGTCCCCACTCCAACAATCTCCAACAAACCACCTACACATCAGTACACGAGGGTACTATTCATTTCATTCACACAACCACCTACATGTGAGCAAAGCTCAAGTAACAACCACTCACATATGAATCATAATCACACAAGTCATCATCATTACCAAGAAGACTAAGGTTCCACAACAACCTTAATCAAGTTCCCATCAAAGGGTACAACGATTACATACGTTCACATCATAAGAATCAATCAATGGATCACAACAAATATATGAAACCATACTCAACAACGAAGGATCACAATTCGACACCAAACGATGGTCAACACAAGTTGCCAATCTCAATAGGAAAGAATAAACCGCACACACTAGCATTTCAACATCAAACTAGCATGTTTATCAAACGGGTAAACCAAAAGTAGTTCCATAGAACATTCAAGACTCATCATTAGTCCAACGAATCACAAAGTCGGACACCTAGCATGATTCAAGACACCAAATCCTACATAGATTCCTAACATATTGTTCTAGACATACGAAACATCAAGAAGACTCACAAATGGCCCAATAACAACATCAGGAGGTCAAAACATCAATACCGAGTCAAAACAATCACGGGGAACAAATCCTCGCCACAATCCATACACGTTCCCCGCGGGTGGGGCCACGGGTGGAAAACTGTTGGACAATTTAGTTATAATATCCTCGCAAGTGCACGAGTCAATTGTAGTGTAAGCGTGCAAAGCAAGGGTCGATCCCACAGGGAATTGTTATGATGCAATTTAATAAATTGAAAATGATTAAAACTTATTTAAAGTACCAAAAACAAATAATATCAATAATTAAGATTAGGATAAACTTAAATGCAAAGTAGTTGAATCAAAATGTAACTTGATAATTTAAAGTGTCCAAAGCTAATTAGAAATCAAAATGTCAAAGAATAAAGACCAATAAAACTCAGTAAATTAAGCAATAAAATTAAATCAGAAAGCAGAATAACAAATAAAAACCAATTGGAAATTAGGAAAATTTAGCTAAACATGTTGATTTGAGAAGGAAATCAAGGAACTGTAATTAAATTGGATTCATTACGTACTGTAGTTAATAACTAGCAAATGTGAATGTAAACTTCTAAACAAATAAAGTAGAAACAACAAAGCAATTAGCAAATGAATGAAAAAAAAAAAAAAGACAAAAATGAATTCTTATGCCAATTAGAGATGCTGCCAACTTGGCAGTGCTAAGAACCTGCTGTCGCACCAAAATAAATCAAGTCACCACTGTCGAACTATCACCGCCGAGAGCTGCTTGTGCCGAACCAAAATTAAGATTGCTGGAAAGGAACTGTTGCCGGAATATCTGCCTCCTCCGGAATTGGTCCGGAGTGAATTGATGATGAAACCTTCATTGAATCGGCCTCTATTTATAATACTCAGACCCAATGACTTCCTGTAACACCCCGTGTTACGGCCCCTAAAACCAATTAATTAATTAACCCATAGCCCAAGAGAAAGAATAAATTATAATAATTAATTAGGGAAAAAGGCCCACCTTAATCCATGGGCCCTTATCCCTAAACCCAATCCTTAGTTCCAAAAGAAATAGAATTAGCAAGCCCATAATATTAGTTCCTAACTAGGACTCCTAAATATATAAATAGGGGACTTAAGGGGCACCTAGAAACCCCCACCACAAGAATATCGCCCACCACCCCAAAGAGCTCCAAGAATCCCCCTAGAAGAAATCAAGAAAGCAAGAAAGCTTAAAGAAAGGCCCTTCATAGCCGAGGAATTAATTAAGGCTAAGAGGTAACCCATGTCTCAACAAAACCTATTTTCATAGCTATGATTTCCCCCGTAGGATTTCCCCATATTATTGTGTATTGATGATTTGCGATATTATTATTGATGATTGATGGGATAATTCCATGGGTGATCTTGATATTGGGAGATTCTTGATAATTATGATGTTCTTGATGATTATGTGGAGTTCTTGATGTTTATATGTCATTCTTGATAATTGTATATGCTTATGTGTTATTTGCACCGAATCTTGTAATTGGAGGACGAATCGTATTCTTGTGGGTATAAAAGTGATTAGAACCCTAGGTTGTATCGTATGATATCATTCTTGGTGTATCGGGTGGGAAATTGCATGTTTGGGGTGTCGATTATGTTAGAAAAGCATGATAGGTTATGTGCCGTACGTTTCTCGTATTTGATCCGTTAATTGACTACGTGTTGATCGTTAATTGCGTTGTAAAGTGTCTAAGCATGGTTTCGGGTTCCACAATGGTTCCCGGGGCGTTTTTGTGATGAAAAGAGTCAGTGGGGGGTAGGTGGGGGTAGGGGACCCGCCACCTACCCGCGGCCAAATCGGGCATCCCGGCAGCGGGCAGCTGCCCGCCGGGCACCCGCTGCCCGGAACAGTGCACGCTGGCGGGCAGCCGGCGGGTGGACCCCCACCCACCGGCTACCCGCTGGAAAATACCCCAACCCGGGATTTCGGCTTCCCCGTTTGATGTTTCCCCGACCCCCGTGGTGTCCCAATGGACTCCGTCTATCGTGCCTATGTCTAGTTTGATATTTCGGGTACCGTTCGTAGGTTGTATGAGTCTTATATATTGCATGCTAGTTGAATTGGTATCCCGCTGACCTAGGTGAAAGGAGTATGAACCCCTTAGGACTATTCTTAGCATGTGAAGGATCACGCATAGGTTTTGTTATACGTTTCCTCCCCTTCCCATTGTGTTAATGTGAGTTGCATGTGCTTGCTACGTGTTATGTGTGCGTGTCACCCCGAATTGGTTGAGATCAATCGGGCTATACGGGCAGTCGGGTGGGCTGAGAACCATACCGGCTGTTAACCAGGCTGGTAGAGACCGGTCAGGTATATAAATATTATATAGGGCTAAGTTCCACTATACGGGCAGTCGGATGGGCTGAGAACCATACCGGCTGTTAACCAGGCTGGTAAAGACCGGTCAGGTATATAAATATTATATAGGACAAAGGCCCACTATACGGGCAGTTGAATGGGTTGAGAACCATCCCAACTGTTAACCAGGCTGGTAGAGACCGGTCAGGTATATAAATATTATATAGAACTGCGGTTCATTAGTCGGTTGCGATCGGCTCCTCCGTAATGTGAGACGGGGCAGGGTGCTGCAGGGCCGTGTCAGAGCTATATGCACTGACCCTCATGTATGGGCATGCGATTGGTCCTGTGGCGCCAACAAAGTGTGCTATGTGATGAGATATGGATGAGTGTGTTTATGATTATATTGGGGGATGTGACTATGGGATCTATGCTGGGGATTGTTTACATTGGGTTATGATTATTAATTGTGCTCAGCTTTATCTGTCTTGCCTGTGGAGGATTGTATACGCCTGTTATAACTGTTGCTTGTGTCTAGCCTTATCTGTCGAGTCATTCCTGGTTTTAAAAGCTAGAGTCTCGTAGGATATATCTTCATGCTTCAAAATGGTTTTTGTATATCTATATATATCTCTATATGTAATGTATTTCAACACGTTGGAGTGGGTTACCAGCATCTCTCGCTGAACAGATATATTTGGCTTTCAGGCACAGACGAGTAGTTCACTGGAGCACGCTAGAAGCCTGGACGTAGCTTAGATAGTTTTTCCCTTTCGGCCTGCGTGCCATGATTTAGTACTGATACTATTTGAGGATATTAGTCAATTAGCCTGTGCACCTGAGTTCTCTAGCTCAGGTGTGGCATAGCACCCCGTACTCTTTGTATCGTATTTTGGGATTTAATGAGATTCTATCTTTATTATATAAGTTTTAAAAGTCTTGAAAATCTGGGGTGTTACACTTCCGCTCAGACATCTCTCGTCACCGAAGAATGCTCTATGATCGCCTCTTCCGCTGTTCAGTCGGATCGCAGGACTAAGTTGTTGAAGAATGTCGTCCAGAGGTTCGCGATTAGCTCTCCGCCTCTTTTATTTCTCAATAGTAATAATAATAATAATAA